TGTGCCCACTCCATTACAGTGACCTGCTAACAGAATAGTTTTGGTTGCAAGGATCTGGTCCCACCTTAGTACCAAACATAACCCTCCCTGATTTGAAAACAGAGAGGATGTGACTGTAGTTCACTTGTTATGGGCAACACACTCTAATACTGTTATATTTGCACTTTCATGATACTCAAATTAAAGTAAATCAGTCGTGTAATAGATTTGTAATAATAAGTCAGCAAATCAATCATATTTACCTATTGTGATGCCAAAGTAATGTTAAAGTAAATCAGTAAAATCTAAGACTTCATGTCAAAATCACTTGTCTACGGTCTATTTTCACACCCTCAGTCACATTCATAATATGGTGAAACTTTAAAGCAATGCTACATAAAGCTAAACTACATCAACCAAATGATTAAACCAGTTACCGGTAATACCAGTTATAAACTTTATTTATACTGATACTATTTTTCAGGCAAAACACATTATTAAAAATTGTAATTTAGCATCCTCAATCATTTTAAATAATTTATCATCCTTATTATATTTTTAGAAACATGTCAGGGAAAATAATACCTTTCCAAAGAATACGGAGTCAAATAGATGTGTTGAATCATTCTTTATGTAACGTGGCCACTGAGAGAACACATGGTTACTCTCCCGAACTCAGCATTTCCTCTCCTTAAGTACAGAACAAGTACAAAACAACAGCCAGCAAATGGTAGATGAAGGATGAACAAATGGCAGAGTATTAGCATACACTCAAAAACTCTTCCTGAGCTAAGAAAGGAAATGCAAATGTATGTGGCATCAGATGTTGTCTCTTAATTGGTCTATGATAAAACTCTCACCTACATACCAGCAGACGTTTATCGTAACGTCTAGAAACCAATGCTAATTTCTCACAAGGTAGTTGCGGTGAAATTCTAAAAATGAGCAACTTATAATGTATTTCTCACAAACATCAAGTTGATAACTTGTTAACATACTGTACCTCACACATTTAGGCAAAAAAACCATCACACATGCTGTGTCTACAGGGAAAAGGCTCACTTCCTGTGAGATGCAGGCCCCTGTTATAACTGCAGTTAACCCCATACTTCTATGTGTAAGACTTTATTGTCATACTGCACCATGTCCGTCATGGAGGGCTCTGCAGTGTGTGATTTAAAACTGCTCTGAAGATCATTGGTGAGGTGCCTACGCTGAGCCCAAACGATACTAAAGGACAGTACCCACCCAGCCACAACCTGTTCACCCTGCTGCCTTCTGGGAAGAGATATAGAAGTTTCAGCTGCCGCACCACCAGACTTTTTCCCCCAAGCTATCAGACTCTTAAACTCTAATTCATCCTCAGCACTGCTCCATTGATTATAGTTTATTTCTGTTTACCATTTTTATAATTGATTCTATATTACTGTATATTGTCTGCTACGTAGCAGAAGGGAGTTACAAACTTAAATTCTCTACAGCCTGCTGTATTGTGACAAATAAATCAAACTTGTACCTAGTCTCCAAGTGTTACAACTCAAGGTCACCTTCTATCATTCTAAATATTTTGGAAGAAGTAACATATAAAGCATTTTCACAATATTTTCACATGTCCAATCATTTCCTTAAAATACATTTCTACTGTCAATACTGAAGCATACAAAACATCATGATTACACAACATATTACAGAACATTATAATGTGTGATGATGCGTTTTAACAACTACAATATGATTTGGTTATAATGACTAAAAAGATCTGCCAGTTGGATAAGCAAAATGACTTAAGTCCTACTACATTTCAAGTCTGAATGTAAACTGATTTCACTCACCTAGTTTTTTTTTTTTTTTTAATGAAGTGTTTGCTATGAAAACAACAATATCTGTTGTTTGACATAAAGAAACCTTATTCCATTACACTCAAGCCATTATAGAACGATTAACGCCCGTCTCTGCTTTCCTCTGCAGGTGGACTATGAGAGTGAGGAGGACGAGGAGGAGGAGGATGGAACGGATGATGGTGAGGATAAAGATCAGGGTGACGAAGAGGAGGGGGCGGAGGAGAACGCGGAGGAGCCCCAGCCGGAGACTGCAGGAGTGGAGAGGAAGAAGAAGAAGCGAGCAAAAAGAGGGCGAGGAGAAGGAGAGGAGACCCTGAATCAGATGAGAGTGAACTCTGTTCTGGAATCCAACCCGGCGATAGAGAGATATCACTACGATGTCCAGCATGAACTCTGGTGTGAGGTGAGTTTGCACGTGTTACACAAGCAGATTTGATTTGAACGATTAGATTTTGAACGTTCTTGTTCAGATTAGACTTCACTGAAGAAGCTGTGAATGGGATGCAACCTACAATCATTGTCCTACAGCTGGTCTGTGCAGCCACAGTCTTATATAGTCACATAACCCTGCTATCATCCAACTAAAACACTAAAAACACATAAAAGGATCCACCACCTTCTGTTCATCAGAACTTACTTATATAACAACTCTATGAAGCTGTTTACTGCAGCTATTTATAATTTATATCAAGCCTGCTGCAGAGATAAAGAAAAACCTAGCACTATGCAACTAGCAATATGCTGGTTCTAAACTATACAAACTGCAGCTCTCAGATGTCTTCAAAGTGTTAGCACTTTATAAATATATATTATATATTGTTTGAACCTCAATCCCTCCTCCCAAATCTCGTCTCCCCCTTCACAGGTTGACCTGGTCTTGCCGGTGAGCAAGGTGCACTTCGACCTCACCTCACTTCTGTCAACACTGGCCCACAATGCCGTCATCATGGAGACCAGAGGCTTGACACGCTGCCTGCTGAACGAAGCCACCACAAAGACTGGAGAGAAAGAGACCGTTCTCAACACAGAAGGCATCAACATGCACGAAATGTTCAAGCACAGTGACGTAAGTGTGGGCAGGATAGTGTGGTTAAGCACTATAATATACAGAGTTCACAGATGAATTGACTGTAAATCACATAAACAATATGAAATTCTGTGACTTAAAAAATCAAAGAGTTTATGGTTAGGGTTAATTGCTTAAGAAATGTTTTTTGCACCAGATCTTGGACATCAACAGACTGTACTCCAATGAGGTCCATGCCATGGCTAACACCTATGGGATTGAAGTGGCTCTGAAGGTCATAGAGAAGGAGATTAAAGATGTCTTTGCCGTCTATGGTACACACACACACACACACACACACTAGGGTTGGGCCGATAGACAATGCCTCGTCTGCTCCATTTTCTCCATCAGCAGTATGTTTTATAAAGTCGCCTAAAAGACTGACAACCGTATATTTCCACCTGCATATATAAACACCAGTTGCACAGATTGCAGACCACATGGCTGTCAGAACCACTCAGGTTTTGTTTGTGTCTGTCTCTAGGTATCGAGGTGGACCCCAGACATCTGTCACTCGTAGCAGATTACATGTGTTTTGAGGGTGTATATAAGCCCTTAAACCGGCATGCCATCCAGTCCAACTCCTCCCCTCTGCAGCAGATGACCTTCGAGACCAGCTACAAATTCCTCAAACAGGCTACCATGCTGGGTGAGGAACAGACTATATTCCTGATAATGCCAGGATAAATAACATGCAAAGCGATTGCTACACATTGATTTGAGTTTGTAGTTCTTGCATGCCTGAATGTGAAAAAAGACTGTCAATCAAGGTTAGTGAACAAAGCTTTGAGGGTATTAGCATAGCTTTTCTAGGTAGTTAGTGCCACAGTGGATTGCTTAATCAGGTTTGATGGTTCAGTCATACTTAAAGGGGCAAGTTTGAATTTGTCTATTTGTATATCCTTCCATCTTTATCATTCCTACTGCAAGAACTCAACTGCCCGGAACCCAGAATGAAGCTTGTTGTCACATGTTTTGCTTTGATTGCATTCATTGTTTAGTTTCTTGGACGTCTTAACACTGCTCAGGAGAAGACGGTCTATATAGATTATAATTACTCTCTGGGGCATGTTGGCAGTGGCGTCAATTGTGATTGTAATGTGTGCATGTATACAACACACATTGCGTTCCTGCGGTGGACAATGAAGCTTGTGTGTGGTTTTTACAAAAAATTTTCAGTTACTAAAATCAGCTTTCCACTTTTTGAGATTTAGTGGAGCAAAAGTCACTTTGAAATAAAATAGGCTATAAAATCCAGTTTGAGCAGGATTCATAATTCATGGCAATAGTAACTAAACTTTTCCATTATGTACTCTATAATATTACTATAATGACTGCTGTAGTCGGTATCTTGGTCCTATCACAAGTCGTACGTTTAACCTCAGAGCCACCACTGCCCTTGTTGTTGTGTTTATGTGTGTTTCTTTCCTTTTTCAGGGTCACACGATCAGCTGGTGTCCCCCTCGGCCTGCCTGGTGGTGGGGAAGGTAGTCAAAGGTGGAACAGGACTGTTTGAACTGAAACAACCTCTGCAGTAGGAGAGGACAGCTCGCAGTCCGATTGGTTGGATGTAACAAATAAGGACACCTGGCGGGATTCTCTTTATTATCACAGAACTGGATGGGATTCACTCCCAGTTCTGTTGACTCAAGCTCCCATGGCAAACTCATGTTCTCTGGCAAATAATTAGGAATAACAACTTTATCTCAATCCCTACTGAATGTGGTGGATGTGACAACTGTTATTGTGTTTTAAAGAATATTGTTCCTGAATGAATTTATTTGAAAATGAATGTAACCTTGGCATTGTGAAGTGATCAAAGTTCCCTATTGGAGAATACTCAGCAGTGACTATGAAAGGACACATATTGGGAGTTCCCAACACAAAAACTCTTCACAATATCCACAGACGGTGGCGTTCCTAAAAGCATAAAATGTGGTAGACAAATTATCTGTTTTTGTCTTTGTATTTAATAATAAAATGAAAGTTAAAATGTGCATAAAACTGGTTCATTTCTGTGTTGGATCTGTGAACACACTGCGGGTTAGCATCTGCTCACGGGATACAAGTCAGGGAGATGGTTTTGGGCTTTTATTGCGAAAAGAGCGGAAATGATGGCGACTTTTTAGGGCCGGTGATTGGCTCCACCTCACTGAATAAGTGAAGCTGGGATAACGAGCCACGGGATAACGTTATAGCTGGGCGATTAACGTTATATCATGACGAAACTGTGGAATCCATGGAAAGGTAAGTGAATAACGTTAATTGAAAACGTCAAAATAAAGAAGCAAGAATTGAGTACGTTACGGTTGCGGTTAACGGGGCTGACAGTCTGGTCGTGGCTAACGGTTCCACCGTGAATGACCAAGGAACAAACTATATGAGGGGCATTTTTAATATTCGTTGTGTTTTCTGCTATCCAACGTTGTTATGTTTACGTTACCCCTCTTTGGGGTGGTCTGGATTGGTTTAAATGACCTCAAATAACCCAAACTGCCGAGACCCGATGCGTGAAGACATTTCATGTTCAAAGGCCATTTTATTAAAAAAAAAAAAAAAAGTGGCACTTAAGTGACGCTTTGATAATCAAGTGCGAACGTGGCAGTAACGTTATTTTATTCGGCTGGTGTCCATCAGCAGTATCACCAATTTAGGGTTAGAGAAGTTAAGTAAATGCGCTTTGTGGGTAACATTATCCTAACATGCTTCCCTGTAACTCCATGCGGCCAGGGGTCTAACGTTAATGTTACAGTAACGTTAACTTAATTCATTTATCACAAAACATTAGCTAGGGGCTATTTTAATTAACCACTTTTTGGCCGATACTCCCAAAAATATTCGGTGGTAGCAACTGTGGTGTTATTAATAAAAAAACAAGCTGAATAGAAAGAGATGGTAGAGCTGTCTTGGGAGAGAGTTACTGACATTTCCATTAGTGAAAGCTAGCTTACTGGCCAGAGAAAGTATATTTAACTAACGTTACTCAAGTAGCAAACGGTACTGCAAGTTAAATAATTTTTTAGATGCCTGTAGGCTTACTGCACTGGAGTATTTATAGTTTATGCTGCTTTTTAGCCTCCCCAGGGGGCTCAGTGAATGGAAGTGAAAAACATCAGTGTAACGTTATATATTATAATATTAATATTGGTTATTACATAATCTGTCGAAAGGAGATCACAGAATAGCCTAAATGTGTGTGATTTGACTAAAGAGACTTCAGAGATACAATAGTTTTGGGGAAGCAAACTGTGTTTCCCACTTTGTCAGAATAAATGCAATTAACCTTACACATTTTATATATTTGGTGTAGTCTGAAGTTATTTCAAACAGCAATATTAGGCTAACATAATGGTGATCCTATAGGCATCCAGGAATTGGGCTAAACTAAGCAAGTAAGTTAAACTAAGGGGGGGGTAGTCTTGCTGTTGATACTGTATGTATATTTTACTATTTTAATACGTGTGTACATTTTCACAAGTAATATTCTGAATAGAGGACATTTACTTGTAACAGATTATTTTAATGCTGTGGTATTGCAAAATTGATTTAAGTGCCTTGCCCATAGGTTTACTCTCATGATAATGTGCTGACATTAGCTCTGGCCAAACTACATACAGTACCAATTACAATATTTTCCAGTACAACACAGTACTCAATGACATCGGTCTGTATGTTCCACCGTTAGAAATTGCACTGCTGCGACACAACTGTCAGCATTACATAGAGCCACTGTTTCATGCAGTCACTGAGCTTTATAAAAACAATGAGTATTGATTGTTTTAGTATCCCAATTTGCATTGTTCACTAATGTGGCTAAAATATTGCATCTGACTTTCCTGTGTGTGCAGGACACTGCCTCTGAGAGCCAGAGGGCCTCAGGCTACAGCAGAGAAAACAGAGAGTTCACAGAATCCACTGCAAATGAGAACAATATGAGGCTTCCAAAACGATGGGTAGCACACAGGTAACGTTCACATAACACACCACAAAGACTCCTGTAGCCTGTACTACGAAGCGGGGTAACTGGCTTATCAGGTAACTTCAGGAGTAACTTCGTGACGTAAGGTGTAACTTCCCGGTTAACCCGTATTACGAAAGGTGGATAGGTGTTACCCGAGGTCTGTTGCCATGGCAATTTACACCGCATCCTAAACTGCTCCGAGCAGGTTTGTTGTGGTTAACTCGAGGTTATCCTGTATACGGGACTACACACCACATCTGTTCTCAGTGTTGATGATGAGAAGTAGGATATTAATAGGCTACACATCGCTTCGCATTACGTTCAGAGAGTGAGCCCTGCAGCCTCTGTGATTTTAAAGAGGAATCTTACTTAACGGGATAGTTTCTTAGATGTAGCCCATCTCTAGGCTATAACTGAAGTGTTTTCACATATTTAGATAGACTATTTTACCTGTCCAAAGAATAGGGAGCCAGGGTGAGGGTTAATAAACCGAGAAAAAAAAATCCTAGATGAAAGTGTGAAATTTACAAGAAGAAAAATCGGAAATTCCCTGAAATTAATTTCATAAAAACTCAATCACTCTGGTGTTTTCTTCTGAATACGGCCAATCCAAGGCAAAGTCTCTAAGGTGCATGATAGTGATTGTGGGCTAAACTCAGGAGTATTTCCTCACTGCTAATTCCAATTGCAAAGTTTAATATAACTTTCCAGTGCATGCATAACCTACTACACGGCAAATGTGTGTGTGTGATGTTGCAGCCTTGCAAAGTGAAGTTATTCTCATAAATGTGTGACTCTAATGTCAGAGACTATAAGTTTTTTTACTTGTAGATTAATCTTGGTAATTAAATTCTGTCTCGGATTATTCCCCCTCTCCGTTGGCTCCTTTTTTCTATTGCAATGGACATTGTGTGCAGTTGTACCTGTACATCTTATATTACACATAAAAGAAGAGCCATAAAATACATACATTAAGAACACTGTGAAGATAATTAGGCTACAGATTTACTCAATGCGATGCCAACAAGCCTCCCTGGCTTTGTCGTCCGCCACGATAATTAGATTTAGCCGTTAACTTGATGTTTACACTGGCATGGGCATGCCCATTGTACGTGAACAACAACTCGTTTTAATTAGACAGAGATCACTCTGCTGGTGTGGACGGAGGTTGTATTCGCGGAGCTTAAAGTTCTCCAGCACGAGGCATTTTTTATTCAACATATATAAATATGTCTGTGGAAAATATTCTTGCATATTTTTTTAACTGCCGCGTGTTATGTGTGTGTGTGTGAAGCGCCAGTCTTCCTCTGCACAATTGGTGGCTCGGTGGCTCTGACAGTGTATACACGGAAGAAAGGAGACTGGCACTTCCTGGCTACGTGAACACTCATTGGCTATTGTAGGCTGTGAACAGGGCATGGAAGATTCTATTGGGTCAATTAAGGTGTTACTCAAAAGGTCAACGTGTCGACGCTTTTTTGTTTACACGCCAACTGTAGTTAGGCTATTATAAAGCGACGCAATAGCAGTCCCTGTGTATTATAATAATGTGTTTTAGAATAAATATTTTACTGGATTGGATTGTCTGGACCTTTGCCAACATAACAAAGCCATTTTTGTCGGAATGTAATAAACCTGTGGACTACGGCTTCACAGATAAGTGGTGTCAATTTTGATAATAGGCATTGCTTGAAGTGGGCCATCGATACCAGTAAGTTACTTCTACATTTTACTCTTTGGCATCCCAGGACTTTTCTGCATACCTGTTCCCATTCTCACGTTTCTGCTAATCTCTGGCAGTGGAGACAGAGCAGGTAGAAGGGGTTAACTGACTTGTACCATATCCATATAAAACCAAACAGGGTATCCATGGAAACGGGGCTACTAGAATGTACTCCACAGGAATAAACACTTTGGTTTTACTACTGGAGGCAGGACAAGAAAAAAGGTATTGTTGTGATTTAACAATCGGCTTATTGTTACACACACCGATCACACTCCGTCCTCATTTTAGGGGCCTGCTGCCTTCTTAATTTACCTCTTACTGAACTTGTGGTTTTTCTGCTTGCAATTATAGTTATTCAAGCCAGTGACTTCCTGCATACAGTATGTTTTCAGTATGACAAATTGCTACATACAGTGGGTACGGAAAGTATTCAGACCCCTTTAAATTTTTCACTCTTTGTTTCATTGCAGCCATTTTCCAAAAATCAAAAAAGTTCATTTTATTTCTCAGTAATGTACACTCAGCACCCCATCTTGACAGAAAAAAACAGAAATGTAGAAATTTTTGCAAATGTATTAAAAAAGAAAAACTGAAATATCACATAGTCATAAGTATTCAGACCCTTTGCTCAGTATTTAGTAGAAGCACCCTTTTGATCTAATACAGCCATGAGTCGTTTTGGGAAAGATGCAACAAGTTTTTCACATCTGGATTTGGGTATCCTCTGCCATTCCTCCTTGCAGATCCTCTCCAGTTCTGTCAGGTTGGATGGTAAACGTTGGTGGACAGCCATTTTCAGGTCTCTCCAGAGATGCTCAATTGGGTTTAAGTCAGGGCTCTGGCTGGGCCATTCAAGAACAGCCACGGAGTTGTTGTGAAGCCACTCCTTCGTTATTTTAGCGGTGTGCTTAGGGTCATTGTCTTGTTGGAAGGTAACCTTCGGCCCAGTCTGAGGTCCAGAGCACTCTGGAAAAGGTTTCGTCCAGGATATCCCTGTACTTGGCCGCATTCATCTTTCCCTCGATTGCAACCAGTCGTCCTGTCCCTGCAGCTGAAAAACACCCCCACAGCATGATGCTGCCACCACCATGCTTCACTGTTGAGACTGTATTGGACAGGTGATGAGCAGTGCCTGGTTTTCTCCACACATACCGCTTAGAATTAAGGCCAAAAAGTTCTATCTTGGTCTCATCAGACCAGAGGATCTTATTTATCACCATCTTGGAGTCCTTCAGGTTTTTTTAGCAAACTCCATGCGGGCTTTCATGTGTCTTGCACTGAGGAGAGGCTTCCGTCGGGCCACTCTGCCATAAAGCCCCGACTGGTGGATTGCTGCAGTGATGGTTGACTTACTACAACTTTCTCCCATCTCCCGACTGCATCTCTGGAGCTCAGCCACAGTGACCTTTGGGTTCTTCTTTACCTCTCTCACCAAGGCTCTTCTCCCCCGATAGCTCAGTTTGGCCGGACGGCCAGCTCTAGGAAGGGTTCTGGTCGTCCCAAACGTCTTCCATTTGAGGATTATGGAGGCCACTGTGCTCTTAGGAACCTTAAGTGCAGCAGAAATTTTTTTGTAACCTTGGCCAGATCTGTGCCTTGCCACAATCTGTCTCTGAGCTCTTCAGGCAGTTCCTTTGACCTCATGATTCTCATTTGCTCTGACATGCACTGTGAGCTGTAAGGTCTTATATAGACAGGTGTGTGGCTTTCCTAATCAAGTCCAATCAGTATAATCAAACACAGCTGGACTCAAATGAAGGTGTAGAACCATCTCAAGGATGATCAGAAGAAATAGACAGCACCTGAGTTAAATATGAGTGTCACGGCAAAGGGTCTGAATACTTATGACCATGTGATATTTCAGTTTTTCTTTTTTAATAATTTGCAAAAATTTCTACATTTCTGTTTTTTTCTGTCAAGATGGGGTGCTGAGTGTACATTACTGAGAAATAAAATGAACTTTTTTGATTTTTGGAAAATGGCTGCAATGAAACAAAGAGTGAAAAATTTAAAGGGGTCTGAATACTTTCCGTACCCACTGTATGTCATTTAAGATTCAGTGTTAGGGTTTTGTTGGGTCAGCTGTACGGCCAGGCTGGGCCAGTTAAAGCCTGGTCCCCACCCTCACCAACTTATTAAACTTAGTTAAAAAATACTCTTATTAGCTTTCTACTATAGTCTATAAGTTTTCAGTCAAAAACTTCTCTGGAGACTGTCAAGAGTCGTTGCAAAACAGTTTATTACAATACAGGACAGAAAAACCCGACCGACATCCCTGCAGGTTAGAGGATGGTGTCGAAGCAGACATCGCCTTATATTCACCTCTGTGTTGGCTTAACTACTCCTCTCCTTATGGTAAACCTCTTATCCTCTGCTGCCATTTTGTTTATTCATTATTGTGTGTTGACTTTCTATATTTTTACATTACTGGAAAAGAAGTTCTCCATTATGTTTCAACTTCAGTCTCACCGTATTTTTTCAAAAGTTATACAGGCATAATTTGACACAAAATTGTATTTCTTAAAAAATTAATACAACAATAACATTTAATTGCTGTATCTTTCATTATTTCTTGATTTCATAGAGTAGTCTTGATACAGTGCTGGCTGAGTCTGTCTTGTTTTCTGTTCACCATCTGTCTGTCGCGTTTCTGCTCACCCAGTTTCTGCCGTGTTTTAGTTCATCATCTATCTGTCGCATTTTCGTTCAGCAAGTTCACTCAGAGTTCACACAGGCTATAATAATAAGAGATTGAAAGCTGATAATCAAACAAACTCTTAATCAGTAATTAAACATGTAGTCTTAACATCAGTAGAAAAAACATACACAGTCACAGCGTCAGCAGATTTGGACACCTGCTGCCTCTCCTTTAGTCATAATTTACAGTAGATAACAGTAGAACAAGGCGTGCATAGTTACAGCGTCTGCAGTCAATACTCCTACTCAAAGATCTAACCACAGTGAGCTTGTTACTGTATTCATGTCTACAATACAGCAATCTAAGTAAAGACAAGGCACATCTAGGTAAAAAGATTTAAAGTAAGGATAATTAATAAAATGATTAAGAATGATAAATTTATATAACAGTTTATTAGGGTTTGGGACCATTTTCTAATGTCCATTTTGGAGCATTCTGAGCTGCTTGCTTTGTTTTGATATGTGCATTGCCACCAGGAATCTCCCGCTAATTCAAAATGCACGTACGTTGGGAGGGGGGAAGCAGGGGGTTTCCTCACAGAGCCACACTGTGAATTGTATGTTAGCTTTAATATGTTTTCAAATAATAAATGCATATTTTTATTATTCCTCACTGAAATGTGAATATGTGTTTAAATGAGGTGTAGGCCCCTTGTGTGTCTGAGTGTGCGGAGAAGACAATTCCGAGGAATGTTCGTGGTGATTAAAACATGCTTTCACATGGTGGTAATATTTTGTTTGCCAGGGGACGGTGTTTTACAATCACGATGCCTACTCAACCATCTGCCAGCCATCGCTGATGGACGATGGCATCGTCTAATGGCCCAACCATACCACCTGCCCTTTTAAATAGCTGTGTATGTTGGATCTTGACTGCAAACCTAATTACTGTCAGGCAAACTGTAATTGAGTCCTCTTGGACACATGAATTGATATCCGAATTACAAACCAAAAAGAGTTGAGCTCCTTAAATTTATGTCCGGAAGGGTAAGGTAATAAGGTACAAGAGCTCAAGATTTTTCCTAAAAAGCCAATGTAACTTACCATACTGGATTATGGTTGGAAAATAATTTTAAAAAACATTTGCAAAATATCCCCACATCTGAAAGTTTTCACCAGTGTATTTGTAGAGTTCATGCTCTTCGGCATTGACCTTTCACATGGCTGAATAAACACAAGTTTGGCATATGATTCATCTGCCAATAAGACTTCAACAGTCATCAGTGTTTCCCATTAATTATTACCTAATGATAATCGTTACCTTTTACATTTGAGTTTGTAAAAAGTGAGCTTGGAGGGGATTTTGGGGGTTTTGAGAACACTTTTCATGATGTTGATTTTAAAAATCACTCTTAATTAATATATAATTCACTGAACGGAGAAGCTTTTACTTCATCATTCAGCCCCAGTAGGAAAGCAGGTTGATCATGTTCCCACATGAAATTAAATGCTGTACTCATAGTCAGACATTTCTGAAACAACTGTGGTTCATGGTTTTGCAAGTTCATACAGTTGTGTTTCTTTTTCCATGTGATTTGATATCTGTCTGTTTAACTTGTGGTATTTAAAGAGATGCTCTACATGTTTTCCATATAGGAATCTTTTTCAGCGGGGAGAAAGGGTGTTGGTGAAAAAAGTAAAAAAAACCTCAGAGAGCGAAAGTTAAACTTTACAGCAGTGATAAGCAAAGAGTGTCCCATGATATTTTCACTTTCATTGTTAAAAACATGAACAGGATTTTCCATTGAACTACCATAGATAATAACAGTCTGGACTCTGGGGGGAAGAAAAAAAATGATGTTGCCTCTCACTGCAAAAACTGGTCTTTCTGGTCAGGGCCTAAAACTACCACAACTTGCAGAGAGGCAGCTGGCTTTCTGGACAGTGCAATATAATTTAGCCTATTTGACCAGAACAGATTAGTGCCAACAACAGTACTTTTATCCAAACAAAACGAAGCAAACTATCAGCAAATGCACAATATTGTGAATTATTGTCATACAAGTTTAAAAGTTAGAGGTGAATTCTCATGTTGAGACACATGTGTTGACACATGCGCAATACATTTCTTCAGATTAATATTTTGTGGTGTAGCCTTAAAATTACTGCATTTAAATGCAGTGCTTCATACTTTAACAGAAATGTTTGTCCCTCCTTCGTGTGTGTGTGTGTGTGTGTGTGTGTGTGTGTGTGTGTGTGTGTCTCAAGGCGTGTATTGGTACCGTGGGTGGTTTTAGGTTTGCTGGGTTTGATGATCGTCTTCCTACCGTGGCTTGAGAAAGGAACAAGCAAACCTCTGGACTTGCACGTCAACCCTGCACATAAAAAAGTGAGAGTTAAGTAGGGGTGGGCAATCTGGCCCAAAAATAGTGTCAAAAAATCTATTTAACCTGAATCATGATGTAAATTGCGATCTTTTTTTCTCAGTTTTGACATGCCCTGTAGACCAGCCAGACTTGAAATATCCTTTGAATTTTTTCATTTGCATTTGTTTTTAGATATTAACACTATATAAAAAGCTTAGAGTGCTCTTTTGATTCTACCATCTCACACGGCTGATCCTCCATTAACAGAGACGAGTAGAATTACAAGTATTAGAGTCCCTGTTTTGTCCGCTGTTAACTTGTTGACAGCGCTTTTACCAGAGTTTGTAGCGTGGACAATCTGGATTTACAGTGATGATTGTATCTAAAGAAGGGTTAGAGTCCCTAAGTAACTAAAGAGGGGATAGAGTGGGAGATGGGGAATCAAAGGAGTAAAATAAGCAAAGGTGGGAGACCTGCCTGTTCTTTTAAACTTTTTTTATATTTCCCTGTTGCTTTTATGTAAAGCACTTTGAATTACCTTGTTGTTGAAATGTGCTATACAAATAAACTTGCCTTGCCTAAAGATACTACACAGGTTTCATAATAGTGATTAAAACCAGAGTTTAATTTGAAGTTGAAACAGAAGCCAAAAGATAACAAAATCATAAGATAAGCTAACACAACTACAACTAGATCTGAAATCAAAACATAAAGATGAACAGCTTCCTTTTCTGTGAAAAGCCATGTCTCCAATTGACCTTTAACTAAGCCACGCCCCGATTACGCAGCTGGCCAATCACAGCTTAGTATAGGACTCGCTCTAACTGAGGTCCGACACTTTCATGGCTGCGCTCCAATGACTCTAATGCAAAAGGAGTCGTTTTCTAAATTTTTTTGCTGTATTTTTCCAAAGTATGGTCAAACGCTGTTTCTGGACGCTTGTAATAAAATCACTACCCAGGGAGGTTGAAAGGAGAGGTACGATTAATTCAGTTTCCAAAACCTAAAACAAATCCAAAAAAATGTAGGCTGTGGATTGTTCCTAATGTAATGTTAGTTAGCTAAGCTAGCTAACATAACACTGAATAACGTTATAAAGCCCTACTGTTCTGCTTTTTAATGACTGTAATAGTGAACAGAGACCTACCCAGCTATACAGGAACAAAGTTAATCCTTAATATCATTTTGCTTTGTCCTAGTCATCAGGTGATGCAGTGGTTCACTTTTACTCTGTGATAGGCTTTAGCTTCTGTCTTTATTTGTTTCATATCAGTTTGACAGCCTGAATACAACCTCCAAATGTAAAAGGCAAATCTTTCTGTCTCCTTTATGAGATTGTTTGTTTTTAATTTTTCCAAAAATTGGACAACATTTCTCCAGGTAGTGCAGTTATAGACAGTGGCAGTGCTGTGATAAAAGTCCGACAGGTCTGACAGTTTGACAAACTTAGCAACAGTAAATAAGGGGGGCGGGGCTTGGCCTGTTCGCCTGCGCTGAGAACTGTCCTTTACAACCTTAATGTATAACATAAATCCCTCAATACCAGCATTCACACACTAACCACCTGTTTGCCTGCTGATGCAACTAAGCACGACACCATGTCATCATATAGGAAGTTCTGTACAAGTGACACGGTTGATTAAAGCCACCCCCACATGTCTGAACTAACGTCACCTAAAGATATCAGAAAGATATTCTGCAGTGAAACAGCAGTGAGTTTGTTTGGCACTGTTAGTCACACTGTCATTATGTCACTGCCTTGGAGCTTGTACATTGCTTGTTTTCGTATCCTCTGTTTAACTTGAAGCTGGTGCATGACCACGTGCTCAGAGTTCTGGAGGGTCAATGTCTTACTGGCAGAGCCAGGCAGAGCTTGTTGGCTCGACTCCCTGCTTCCAGTTCTATGAGTCAGCCCTTCCTGTGGAAAGGCGGCCCAATACCTGATGACCTCTTCCTGTATCCACCACCGTTTGGGTTCAGAGGCCTTAAGGATAAAGTAAAGGACCTGCTGAAGCAGGTGAATGCAACTTCTTTTTTCTCTTTCATTCTGTTATATTAATTATCTAGTTAGTATTTGATAATTATTTATGGTGTAACCATATTAATTTAATTTAAAGGGTTAAGTCGGTCACTTTTAACTTTTTGGCAAATGTGATGAAACTGTCACTATATATTCACAGTGGTACATGAGACAAGCCGCCACATATCATATAATATAATAATAATAATAATAATAATAATAATAATAATAGTGGTACACCTCAGCAGTTGATACAACTGTAACAGTAATTATTTCTTAAAATTCCACAAGTGTAGTTTGTAGTAATAATTACAATTTGACCAATCACAATTATAATGCAAGATATTTGATAACAATAAGGATGATATTATTGATAATGCGTGACATACGACTCATAATTCAAGAAATCTGCTTCTACTAATTTACTACTCCAAATGACATTATAAACATCATGAAAACATTTTATAATACAATGATGGCTTGAATGGATTCACATATCAGATATATTTAATTTATGACTAAGCAAATGAAAAATGGATATCTCTGATTAGATGCTAACTAATAGGGTGCACTGAAAATGTGCAAAAAGTGGCTACAAACGCACTTAATGACAGAAAAAGATTAATCCAGTCTGAAATGTTTCATAGGCTGTAATTTATAGGGAACCGGTCTGCTATTTACAAATTCATGCTAGCAAATGCAATTCCGGTGCTTCCCAAAGGTTAGGCAAAGACAGACAGAGAAGAGTGCAGTATGTAACTGCAGTTTAAGCTAATTTGATTTAGGTGAGATTTAAATAATAATAACATTGACTGCTAATTTCTACATTGTCCAGTCCAGTAAAACATAAAGATGAAATAAAAGTGCATCTTTATGTTCCTGGAAGTGCTATTCAGTGCATAAACCTAAAAATTCTGTCTTAATTTATAGCTGCCAGACTCTGACTCCCCGCCCCTTCCGAGAAAGACGTCAGATAAATGTCACCGCTGTGTGGTCATGGGAAATGGAGGCATTCTCAGAGGCCTGGATCTGGGCCCACTGATTGATCGTTTTGACACCATTATCAGGTCAGAAATACTAATGCTATGATGTTACTGTATTAGCAATGTTGCTTGCAGCAGTGTTTCCTGGAGGATTTTAAGAGGCTATGCTGGGTTGGCTTCCCCCCGGAAGAAAATTTTGTACATTTGAAAGTTAAATGCATTCATTTGGTGCAAAATAGAGGCTATATATGAAGAACGTTGCACTCTTGTAAACAAAGCTGTGCTCTAGTAAACTATTTGATCATAAACCCCTTGTAGAGCTATAAATGGTGATGAAACAGCAACACAAGTCAACAAATTTATTTGTTTTCCCTGCAACCCTAGTAGTAAAGTGCAAAGTAATTTACCTTACATTTTATTGTAGTTGTTTTTCTTTTAATGTACACATGTAATATGTTTTGAACTTTCTGTCATGTCTCTCATACTGCAACACTTGTCTTTGTAAAGAGAGAAACTGACAGGATAAAGTCTCTAACCTGCCTGTCAGCTCGCACTGGTCCATTACAGTGAGTTTAGCATAAAATGGCTTTTATATTTGTGCGCTCCAAATTTAGACAGCTAGCTTAATCGCCTTCTCATAAACGAGTGACAGAAACAGATAGTTAACGTTACCGTAGTTACCTCAAAAGAAAAGTGGTTGTCTCAAGTCTGATGCCAAAGTGTGTGAGCATGCGAGCTCACAGCAGCGCCCACAAAACACAACGTTAGAGGTCTGTAATGTTGTTGTGTGCAATTTGAAACTATGGCGGAACACCAGATACACCAGATACCAATACCACGCTTGAGTTTCTGGTAATGATTATCATCACAAAGTCAGCCACAAAGCCATATGATTTACTTTGAAAATCTCTGTGTCGCCCTCCTCCAGGTTGAACAGCGGTCCTCTGGGAGAGTTCAGAGCTGATGTTGGAAATCGAACCAGCATCAGGATGAGTTACCCAGAGGGCACTCCGCTTCACTGGGTAGACACAGACCCACACACTTTGTTTGTTGCTGTGGTGTATAAAGGTGTAGACGTCAGCTGGATCTCTGCCATGATCAACAAGCTCGCTGTGGTGAGTAGTAGTCTGTGTGTCTGTGTTGAAGTTATTTTAAAACTTGTATTGTCAGAAATCCAACTATGATGCTGTTTATTTAAACATAAAGTCTCAATAACTATGAAAATGGTCATTTTCATAGAGCAAAAAGCACAAAAACATCAAGAAATGATCTTGCACATAGCAGTGTTTTACAACAGCTTGTAGCACTGAAGAGTAAATGATTGATATATTCATACATTTCTACCAAAAAACAGTCAAAAAAGCTAAACAATTTCAATCATTTTTAAGCTAAACTGAATTACTGATGACAACCATCATAAAACATAAAACAGTAATGTTATATTTAGCAAATAGCTAAAACACTTAATTTCATAAATGTAGCTGAAAATATAATACAGTTAGTATGATATACATACCGACATGCTGCCAAAATGAAAATTTCACTTCCTGGCAGTTGTTCACAACTTCACAGATAGTTTCAACAGTAACTTTGGAGAAAAAAAAGCTGCAAGTTAATGTGGGGTAACAATTGTTAGATTTGACTCAACCCCTGCATGCTTTAGGAACTTTGCCTCTGAGTGGGTCTCCATTTCAGTTAGCAGTCACTCCTGTTTCATGTTGGCCTTTTCTTTTTAATCTTGATGCAACAGAACATAGTCTTTAAGGGATCAAGATTCAAAAGGTGATCTGTTTAAAGGTCAGAGCTAGGACACATCTGTGCTTTGTGTTGCAGCCTCTCTTGGACTGGCTTTTCTTCTGGGGGAAGGTTCCAGATCAAATTCCTCTTGAGCCCAGCCAGTTCAGACTTCTAAACCCGCATGTCATCAGAGAGACTGCATTAGACCTACTGAAATACCCTCCACCCAGATCACTCTGGTGGGGCAGTGACCAGGTAATACACACTACCCAAACTAGGGATTAACGTGCGTTATTGACGTTTTTAAGTTAATAATTTGTTTTGAGTTTTTTTATTTTTTTATTTAAATGAAATTATGAACTCTGGCTGGTGCTACTCTTTTAAAACAGCAGGTTTCTGTCTGCTGGCTGTCTTTCTGTCTCTGCAGACAAAGCATGACATTCTCCTCCTTCCTCTGTGTGAAGGGGACTTTCCCACCACATGTAGCTGTGCCCACAGTCTGTTGTGTAGGAGAGGCTCCCCCCTGTGTTTGGTTTTGGATATTGCAATACAGATCACTAACCATTTATTTTGCCCATGATAATTATAAATTCTAATGAGTAATGATCCTTTCCCTGCTTCACTGTATCTGTATTTATATAGAAGATTTAAACCGAATATTTGTCTCTTGGAGTTTATAAAACATGTTCAGTGGGAATGACTGACTTTTACTGAGCAACCCCATCTGTATACATTGTCCTCTTTACATTTTTGTTGTATCACCTTTTTGTCATATTTTGGTTGAATTTACAGGCATTTATGTAAAATTGTTCATGAAGACACAAAAGTAAAAATTTATGGGAAAAAAACAGATTGACGTATCAAAATTATTTTGATAACTTTTGATCAGTGACGTCCGTAGATAATCCTGCCAAATTTCAGGTCCATTGCCAAAAATAGGTTTTTGAGAAAAGTGATAAAAAGTTACATAATTTGACATTTTTAGAGCAGAAGACCATTGGAGAAAAGATGCAGATTAATCCAGAGATTAAAATGATGAAAGAAGTTTGGTTCTAAACAAAGCCGTTTTCGAGATAATTGCCAAAACGTAAAGTTGATTGTTATAGCACCACCATGAGGTCTATGAGTGCCTTTTTTTTTTTCTTATTCTTTTTTTTTTTTGAGTAGTGGGTGGAATTTGCAACCCAAGCAAAGCTGCTTTGATCCTTAATAAATTTTGTATGTAGTACTGGAGTAGATAGTACAAGAAACAACAAATGCAGTTTCAGAAGATAAGACTATTACTGATGAGTGGCGAAACATCTTCATGTATCTTACACCTGTCCAGCTGCCCCTTGCATTTAATCTTCCTTGGATAACTTTGACCTGGATGACTGAGAATCTTAACAGACTATTACTTGCCATGTTCCATGGAAACGGACCTCTCTCCATTTTTCTAAGATCAATGGCCGTCAGGTTCATGGGGATAGTTTTGTTTCCGGTTTAGAACCCATACGTCTTGTTTATTACAGCCACGTGTGACGTCAACTACTGACGTAACGACGCCTGCCATAGCCTGGTTTATTCGCTCCAAACCAGCTGATGGATTCGCATTAACTGTTTTTTCTTTTTTGCGACATTTCAAAAGTCCACTTCACATGACAATTAGATGGAAACATGGCTACTGATGGTGTTGTGTTGGAACAGGTTGTGTCAGGAGTGGAAGAAACAACAGTTGGGGAAAATGACGACAATAGTGTGTTCCTCCTCAATAGTGTCTTTTTCTTCTTCTACAGAACGTGCCTACCATAGGTGTGTCTGCGCTGAATTTGGCCAGTGTGCTGTGTGACGAAGTCAGCCTGGCAGGCTTTGGTTACAACCTGTCCCAGCAGAGAGCGCCACTGCATTACTACGACCACCTTCCCATGAGCTCCATGCTGCAGCAGACCATGCACAATGTGGACAGAGAGACCGAACTGCTACAAAGCTTAGTAAGAGAGGGAGCCATCACTGACCTGACGGGGGGCATTCACTGCTCCTTCTGCCCCAGGTGACCCTGAGAACATTGAGCATTAAGTACTTTCCCTTTTTGTTGTAAAATGCTTTTCTAAAAACAAGTGACACACTGTACACGAAGACAGTAGCAAGACCAAAGGACTTATAAATATGTGAGAAGAAAGGAAGAAAAGAAATACAAGGTGAGAGAGCTTTGTGAAGAAAAGGACATAATGACAAAAGTGACTGGTAATATTAGCACCTGCTGGCCATTACATGTTCACATTCATCCAACCCATACATGTGTAAACCAACCAATGAATGAAGTTTCTTTGCTGATAAAACATTTTCATATGAAAATGAATAATTTTGATTTTCAGTATTGCAGACATGTATTACAGGTGGTTGAAATATCAACCTATAGACCCCAAATGAGCACCTTGTGCTGATAGGATTATAAATATTATATGGTACATGGATACCTCACCCACTGCTGATTTTAGGACTTCTTCAAATGGTAATACAATATTGTCTTATTTGTATCATGATAGTTCTACTGGTACTATGAGTTAAAATTGTAGTATCAGGCTAAACTGAACCAAACCATTCCTCCACTGGTTATAATTTATATAATTTTGTCCTCTTTCAAATTGAGTGGTTTTAAATATTTTCCAATGCATTTTTTAAGAAGTACAGTATATTATTTATTTATGTTAACCCTGGAACAAATGGCTCTAAGTTACAGAGAAATGTGACAATTACAGATGCCAGATGTAGATTGATCTGCACCAGTCCAAGATGTCTTCAGGGACACTTTTGGAGCAGGCTTTAAATAGTTGGAACTTAAGTTTCATTATTGTTCTTTTTACAAGTGTTAAAATAGATGCTGGTTCAGTGTTATCTCCAGAATATTGTGCCATACTACAAAATGTATTAGCACATCTGATTATTCCAATGTAAATTAGCAACATAACAATTTTACAATACTTTGTTTAGTTCTCTGTGTGTTTTAAGTGGTAGCATTTTTTTATACCGAAGAGCTCCGATTTTCTTTTACAACTGCACCTTGTTAATTTTCTTCCAAATTGGCTAGTCTGTGAAAAATTGTGCACAAATGAAAACTGTTAGTCATGAATTGTGTTTTATTTTTATATACATTATTTATTTTCATTCTTTGTAATATAATTAATAACATTCAGACTGCACGCACCTGTCTGCTTACCTTTGAAATGTTAATGTATTTATGTCTCTTTTTAAGCTAAAGCTCAACATTTCTGTTGTCATTTCTTCCTGTGATCTTCATTTTGAGGGAGAGGATCAGTTCCTGTGTTTTCATTAAAATATTTAAAAACACAGCTGATGTCAGAACAAGTTAATTGAAAAACATGTAAAAACAGCCATACACTCAGTTCAGATGTTAATTTTAGATTGTTCTCTAATGAGTTTTAAAAGAAAATGTAGTCATGTTTAAAATGGACACCAGTCTGTGTGACCAACAGAAGGAGATAAATGCATCTGCCTGCACGGCTCTTAATTATGTGTTTATGAGATAAGATAAAAACTCCAAGAAAGTTTAATGGTGCAGCTTTTGTTTTCAGTCTTAATTTACTGTTGCTGGACTGATTATTAAAATGTACATATGATGGAAATTAACATTAACATTAACATTACATTGTGAGTAGTTCATTTAATGTGAATGATTATTCATTAATCATTTCAAAGTTATGTTTCAGTTAACACTTTATGGTATGTCGTTTTTAAACAATCACGATTTGAGCATTGAACTCTCCCACTCTTGTCCATTAATGTACTGTTTAGATAAATCTACAATTCACATTACTGCTTCTACTGCTGTCAACCAGCAGATGTACCTGTAAAGCCGTTATGGTGAAAACCTGCAGAAGTCTGTTCATTCTGTAAATTTAAAGTTACAGTAATTACGCCACAAGTAAGTTCAGGATACTTCAAGTTAGATATAGTTGCTACTCAGCAAATCCAAAGCAGAGACATAATGAAACACTGCACTTTTTGAAAACACTTAGACACTGACAAGCAGTTCTGTTATATACAACGTGATTGCTGAAGTTCATGTATAGGTTTCAGACAAAGCAATAATTAAATTCAGTCCATAATGAACCTACCACTATTGGACCAGTTGGAAGAGGAACAAAGCCAAGCCCTTCACATTATCGTACAATCGCCTCGTGACCATAGACTGTATATAAAAAGCTTGTGACCTGCAAACAGAGTGCACTCTGCTCATTGCACTATTGTCTCAATCTGTTTGTATTGTTTTTGTTTTTAGTGTATATATATGTGTTCTCTACAACGGAGTATTAGGGCCACATTAAGAAAAAAAAAAATTGAGGATGAAGATTTTTTATTTATTTTGCATTTCGAGAATAAAGTCGAAATGTCGAGAATAAAGTAAACTCCTTCAGTCCATCAGATCACGCTGGAGCGACTGTCCGCTATGCCAGCTGCCATGTGCGCAACACCATAGACACAGGTTAGGCTACATCCTTGGAGTGTAAAGGTGAGTTTTTGAAGAGATGCTACCTTATTCTTAACTGTAAGAGAAAGCCGCATGAAATAAACACGTAAAGCCTATTTATTTATGCTTGACATAAATATGTCGTTACCATTGAACTATAAACTACTAGATCATGTGAACCTCTTGTGACTGTTGTATCAATTTTAAAGGACCACTATTCGCTAGAACACCGGTTCCCTGTACCTGGCAAAAATGTCAGTCACCGTGACAGATTTCCTACGAGATCGGGCGGTCCCAGAAGAAGCCCTCACACTAATGGAGGAGCAAAAGGTGCATAGGGCTGAGGGAGAAGTCCAGTATTAACACATTTATTCTCTGAGAAAACACGTTTAATTAAACAGGATTATCGATTGCATTGAGATTTGTGACTACTTATATTTCAGTTTGACTTAACCTCAATTAATCATGCTCCTGATAAAGAGCTTAAAGATAGACATTAATAACATCAGTGGCTGTTTCCAGGCCAGGGTCAATTATCAACTTAAATTCTTAAAAAGCATTTTCTTCAATCTGTCTGTGTTTGATGGGCATGGTTTGCACAATACAATTGGTTATAATGTGAATTCAAGGTTGATTTTTATAACATTGACCCTTTACTGATATTAATCTTGCCAACCATGATTCCTATACAGCAGTATAGTGTGATCATATAGAGTCAAGCAGAGTCAGCTGATTACTTACAGATACATTGACATGCAAAACGTCCAGGAGCACCTGAATAAGATATCAAGAGTCTATGTGAATGGATTGCAGACCTCACTAAATTATTGCACACATGGAAAGAATGACAAAATTATAACTACAAAACAATTTACTTAATGAAGATAATTTTGAACCCCTGGAATGGATCATAAATAGGCTGTAGTTATTAAACTGATGATTATAATATGGCTAAAATTAAAACTGGTAATTGGCATTATAATGACAAAGCTTTGTGTAATTTCATATCCAAAGTAATTAGATGGAGCTTAAACATGGAGCTTCCTGTAGAGTCCAGTACAGTAACAAATACTGTAATAGGCTAATGTTATACTGTTCTTTGGTCGATTTGTATTTTTTCTCCCTTATCATGGTTTTTCTTTGTTTCACAGATCGACATAGATGTCATCCTGCATATGGACGATTCAGCTTTGGCTAAATACATTCCTTCATATGGAGACAGGATTGCACTTTTCAATTTTTGTAAACATCAAAAGCCAGTCTCAAAGCGAAAAATGGGTCTTCTTGAAAAGCTGAGGGAGAAAATTAAACTAAGAAGGGAAACCACAGAAAGTCAAGAGAAGCCTCAAACCGCTAAACCAAATGCCAGATGTAGGCAAACTACACGGACTATTGAGATAGGTTGGATACACCAAGACAAATGTGAAACTAAACAGGTTAGAGCAAAACACGGAGGGGGGCACTAGAAAGGTTGTTATGGACATCAATAGTGGATTTAATGAAATCCTGAAAGAGGGAAAAAAATCTTTTTTTCCCAAATGGTGTTTCAAGTAAAGGCCATGAATCAGACTTCACATTTAATGTATGGGACTTTAAACAAAACTCTTTTTCTGAAGATCTCTCAATTGGCAAAATTTATGAAACAGTCAAGCTACCCAAGCTGCGTTTCTACATTGCCACTCAGCCAAAACCACAATCAGATGAAGATGCCTCTACCAGCGAGTCTGAACACAAAGATGATGAATCTAACTTTGGGGTGGATGAAATTATTTTTCTGACGGCCAATCCATGTCTGAGGAGTCCAGTTACTCAGCACAGGACCAGGATCAAGCCGGTTGGCATCACCCAGTTGCCACAGATCGCTCAATCGCTACAAATCACACAGTCATCACAGATGACCCAGTGGTCTCAGAGATCCATTTTATTTTACCAGAGATATTGCAGGAGGATGCAGTTGTTCTTCAAGAAGTAACACTAGGAGATGACCAATATATCTCTGACCCTGAAATTACATCTGGCACACACACAGAGGCAGAATTTGATTAAGATGACACACTGATTTATCAGCCTGACACACCTGACAGCGCCAAACAAAACTGATTACTATAAATCATGCTAATTGTTTCAGTGACATGATTCAAGCATTTTCTGATCCCGAGACTCTGACCAGACCACTGGCAGTGACACGATTACTCCCAGATAATTCTGAGGAAGCTGGTAGCGGGTGAGGGTTTCTGAGAGATGTCTTCAGTGCATTTTGGCAAGAATTCTATGACCGTTGCACACTCCGGACAACAATGAAAGTACCCTTCATCAGACATGATTTCAAGGCTGACACTTGGAAAGCTATCGGCAGAATTTTACTGAGAGGATACAAAGACTGCCACTACCTTCCTATCAAGCTTGCACCTCCTTTTGTTGAGGAGATGTTATTTGGAGCAGTGTACAGTGATCTGACAGAAGCCTTTCTTCAGTTTGTAAGCCGCCAAGAACGAGAGCTCCTCAGGCAAGCTTCACAAGATTTCTCCTCGGTTGATCCTGATGACCTGTTGGAGGTCCTCGATAACTATGAATGTAGAAGAAAAGCCTCAGCAGACACCCTTCCAGTAATTCTGATGGAAATTTCCCAAAAAGAACTTGTTCAAAAGCCAATGTTCATTATTTATTGTTGGAGGGAGATCACCCAATCACAGATCAGTCTGAATTATGAGAAGCTGACAAAGATTTATGCTGACCTTAAACCCACATCTAAGAAGGTGTTAAGGCTGTTGAAGTTCCCAGCGGATATGAGGGCAAAGCAAAAAAAGGTCGAACATCATCAGCTCAGAAGGTATATCAGGGAACTGGATGAAGAAAAACTCGGGAAGTTTCTGAGATTCTGCACAGGGTCTGATTTGATTGTGTGAGACACCATCACTGTTGAATTTACAGAAATGACTGATTTCACAAGACGTCCAATTGGACGGACATGTGGAATGTTCCTACAGCTACCTGACTGCTATGAAAATTTCCCTGACTTTCGTGCTGAATTCAATGAAGTCCTTGAGAGCAACGTCTGGGTGATGAACATTGTGTAGCACAATATGTGGCCTTTTAAACACGATTGTGCCCATACTGTTGCCAAGCCAAGGTTTCTAAAAGGATTGACACAAAAAGCTGCTATTTTGACTTTGAAAGCCTTTTATAGGTGCAGTTTGTCTTCAGGTTTTCTGCATTTAGTAAGTAAGTAAGTAAGGGCTCTTGTTGTTTTTTGCAAATGTCTTTGACTTTATTCCCTAATTCTGTCTCTGTTTGTATAAGGACAATTCAAGTACAGTTTTCAAAAACTATATTCTAGGTTAACAATAAAAGAATATTTGTCTTTGTGTATTGACAGTTTGAGTAAGCTTAAGCTGGGGTTTATTACAACAAGTAGGTAGTGACATTGCATTTTATGGTTGCAGCTCTTCATGCACACAGGCCCTTCATAGTCATGCCATAATTATTTCACAACAAAAGGGAACTTGAACTGGTTGTGCAAATGTTTTCTTGTGATTTAATATTTTTTATTTTATTTTATAAAACCTCTACAGGCATAGTACATGTTAAAGCATGCTTGTTTGATGTTTGTTTTACAGGATAAGACACAAGATGTCAAACAAAAAGAAATTGAAAAACACATCTGAGTTTACTTGTTATGTGAGTGTTCTGTGGGTGCAGTTTCTATACCCCCAAAAATAGACCAAGGCATGTTCATAATTTGATATTAAAAGTTTACCTATTTCATTGCGTATGGTGTTTAACTATTCATTAAGTTAAAGGGTAAGATTCAGAAGTGTCAAGCACCTTTACAGCATTCCTAGTGAAACATTTAAGTTTAAC